TTTAATACCCCTCAGCTTCTCTGGGATTCCCAAGGAGTCCAAGCCAGCTATTTATCTTTGGATCGATCCTGATTTGTGATCTGAATTAGTGCCCACTCAAAATGAGGGACCCATTGCTTCAGGCACTGTGTTGTACCTGTGGCAGAAGTCTCTGTGCCACTGTCTCTGCCCCAGTGTTTTACCAAGCAGAAGGAACCCTAGGTGGGCATCTTCAATAATGTAATCCTTCCAGTGTTAAATCTTATTTGAGCTGCTGATGCCTAATTCAAGGGCAAGATGATGTTCATAGCAACACCTTCATAGCAGGCTGCTTTGCATAGGTCCAGTCTGGGTGGCAGTGTCTCGTTCAGCTCAGACTCATGTCTTATGCAGTTTCATTGGAGATTGGCAAGTGCTGTTTGCAAAAGATCCATTACTTCAGACAGGGAAGAGGGCATTTCTGTGCCAGGTCCTCCCATAACCATACCCAGCTCTTTCTCTGTCTTGCTGTATCATTCTTCAGAAGTTTGTTGTTTGTCTTGGTGCAATATTCCTGTCTGGTAAATTGGGATACTAGAAGGTTTTATGATGCTTTTAGAAACCTGGAAATGACATTGTCTGGTCTGGAGTTTGTAAAGAAATCCTTCTGTTTGTTCTGCTGTAGCTTGGCTTGAGTTAAGGGAGATTTCATAGTAACTGTCTGGCCTTGAGGACACCCTCCGTGTATGGTGATCCTTAACACAGGCTGCAGTCTTGCAGGGTGTCCCACCCTGTGCTTCCCTCGGGTATGCGATGGGTAAGGGTAAGGACTTCTGCTGCACATGCAGTTTCAGAGTGAGTATTGCAGGTATTGTCATGGAACAAGTGGTCCAATCATCTAGTAGGGAGCTGTGAGAAAGGCAATAAACTTACTAGTAATTCGTGGCATTATAATAGTTACGCATTCATCAGTGATCTGGCAAATTTTGCAGGTGGCATAAAACATAGATTAGATTAGTTAATACCAGGGCAGACTGTCAGGAACTTCCGAAGGATTTAGCCCGGCCAGATGAGTGGGCAGCCTCATGACAGATAAAATGTGCCGTCAACAAAACCAGAAGACTTACACCGCAGGCAACAACTGGAGCTACTCAGTTCACTTGACTGTAAACTAAATGCAGCAGCTCAGGAAAGGGATCAGCTATCCAATTCCTGTTACTATGTACCAGAAATCCAAAAGGCAAACAAGTGAGTTTAACAAATGTCAATACCAGTCAAGGAAATGCTTGTTCAGTCACTGCAAAATTAAGCAGGGGTGTTCTTTACCATAATACATTATTGAGCTTACAAATTCTGGAAATACAAAAAATCAGGCTGCCTACGAGTGACTTGCAAATAATATAAGTGCAGTTGCTGTGCTGAGGCTGTGACCACCCAGGTCATATCGGCAAAGACTCTGCAGGGCAAAGTAAATTCCTGGCGGTTGAAGGAAGCAGGAGGGAAGGGGGGGTGCAGCCCAACTGTGGCTCATCGTGAAGCAATGAGTCCCCCAGAAACCTGCTCTCCCTTCCTGCCCATGAACCGCCAAACTTCCTTCCCCCTCCGCTCTCCAAGACTTTATCGAGTGGTTTTCAGCCACATAAAGATTTTGGATGTGGCTCACAGCGCTGAAAAAAAACCCCCAAGCGTCTGTAGCTAAAAAGGATAGTCAGGTATTTGTAACAGCAAATGCTAAGAACTAAGCCTCCTAAAGGCTGCAAAGGAATAAACGATTCATGGGTTTAAGATTCAGCTAAG